TTTCTGAATGTGAACATATTTGAAAATTTGCATGAACATCAATTTGATAATTTGCCTAACAATTGTAATCATTTAATAGAACTTGTAAGGGCTGAATGTGAAAAGTATATCGATGTACGAATAAATCATGAAGTCAAATTATTTAATTCGGTAAAATCTACGAAAAGACAAATATTAAATAAATTAATATTATTTAGAGGATAATAAATATATTTAAATTATTTTGTAGTTTTAGTTAATATGACACTAAAATATACTATTTTCTGAATTACAAACTTAAAATTGAATATTTGTCATAAGATGCAATATAATGTTTAATAAGTATGTAATAAAAATATTGCTTAATCCGGATCTCATTAAAGATGTTCCCTTACTACCTCTCTCTCTCTCTCGCACAGGCTTGTGCTGGAACAGTTTGTATTGGCAAAGTACAGCACGGGTCCGTCCATTAGTTTATAAGATCTATGGATATTGACTTCTGTACAAATTTCTCTGTTTTATTGTTCTATACTTTTGCGTATTATGTGTTATGTGGTATTTATACATGTTTGCAGATTTATTATTAGTTATTAAAACTTATTTACAGAGTAAGTAAGATTATGATTTTTTTAGTATTAAAGAACAATAGAAAATTAAAAGAGTGACAATCATTTTTTGGTACATAAATTTAATGTCGCGTTTGTAATGACTAGTTTTCTGTAAAATCGATAGTAACATTTCGTAGTTGATAACAGGCATCGTTTAATTTACATTTTGTAGAAGAAATATTTGTATAAGTTTATAAATTTTAATAGAATTATAATTTTAGATAATGTATAATGGTATAGGATTAGCAACCCCAAGGGGATCTGGTACTAATGGTCATGTTCAGAGAAATTGGGCATTGGTAAAACCAAGAGTTAAAGAAAAAACATATAAAAGTGAACAAGAATTAGCAGCTTTAGATACAGCATCGAGCAGACAACCCAATAAAGAAATCTTGGATCATGAACGTAAAAGAAAAATTGAACTAAAATGTGCTGAATTTGCTGATATCTTGGAGGAACAAGGGTGAGTGTTTATATACAAATTTCATGAACCTAAAATAAATGAATCATGTTTTAAAATTAAAACAAAAATGATTTAATCTGCGTTTACATGAATAACTATCAGAAAATTAGATTACTATTTAGTTTATGTGCAAGATAATATTGCCCCTCTACAGTTATCGGACTATAAAAAACTCAAATTTGACTTCAATATTTATTGAAAAAATTCAATTTTTTTTTTAATTTCATAAAGCAGGTTAACTGTAATACTTCTACAGAGCCTTCATAAAAGATTACAAACCACATGACCAGTGATCGTGTTTGGAATAGTAATTTTATTTCCTTTATGTTGACAATTAACTTTCGGTAAAATTAAAACAATAAGACCAAGATTACATTAAAACACAATATTCTTTTTCATCGGCTGTGAATCATTAATATTGGGGATGGTAAGATTTAGGGAATTTTCGTTACCAGTACCAATAGTACAATGTTGGGTTGCCTAAATTCGGCAGTCACGTGGCTTGTAAACATTTATGAAGGCTCTGTATAATAATCCACTGTACCTAAATATGTATTTATCTTACTTAAATTATTTATTTAATTTGTGCTGATACAAATTTGACTTGCTTATTATGAAAGTGAATGAAAAAATGTTTAACAACAAAAAACTGTATTAGGCCGATTTTGTCAAATGGAATGCCCAGGTAGTGCGGTCAACTAGAATGTGTGAAATAAACTAGGTAATTCGCTTTTCAGTAATAACGCAATAACGGTAAGAAATAACCGGTTTTTATTTTTCATTCCTATTTCATCATTACAACTGGCAATTGTAAGTGACGAATGATTAGCAAGTAGCAAGTGATAATTAACTTATAAAGGCTCTTAATCGCTTATATACAGTGCGTCCCAGAAGTAACGCAAAAAATTTGTGTTTTATTTTGTGTTGAGTTTTCACAAAAATGCTAAAACGTCAATTAGTAAATAGGAATTGTCGTTTTGTCACATTGGTTAAACTTTTTTTGTGCTATGTTTCATAAACCTATGACGTCACCGACATTTTATTTAAATAGCACTACCTAATTTTTTAAGCATAAATGATAGCCCTTTTGAAGGGAAATGCGTCGATTTAGGGTTTGGCCTACTTTACTTTGACAGGTGCAAAAAAAGCTACAACGATTGGAATGGACATGGTTTGAATTAATAACAAAAGTAGGTATCACAAACTTATGCGCGAACAGTGCTATAGCAAAAAATGTGTTTTGATTGTAGGTACATGTTTTTATGTAGATTGAATAGGTACACCCGATTGCAGCAGCTATGTAGGCATTGTTTTGAAGACGAGAGTTAGCTAATGCAATAGTGCCTCATATCATTGTGACAGTTATAAATACCATAACTTTACATTACGATGGTGTTGTGGTTTAAATGAGAAACAAAGAATTGAAATCCTAATTATGGTTGGATACGGAGATAGAATCCGTAGTTATGATGAAGTATGTCAATTATTCAATGCCAAGTATCCAGAACAACCAATACCTCCATCTACAGTATGCAGATTAGTACGCAAATTTAAAGACGCTTCACATGTTAGAGATCTGTCTAGATCTGGAAGGCCAATGACAGTGATGGAAAATGATTGGCAAAATGTTATGTTTAGCTGTTACTGAAAATCTACACACTGCCGTTCGTCGTATCGCCGAAAACGCCAACATATCAATACATAAAAACGTACCAACAATCAACCAAAACACAAAACATCCACAAATTTCAATTTTTTGCTGTGGCACGGTTCTCGCATCAGTTTATGATACCTATTTTTGTTATTTTAAACCATGTCCATTCCAGTCGGTTTTTTCGCTCCTGTCAAAGTAAAGTATGCCAAACCCTATATCGACGTATTTCCCTTCAAAAGGACTATCCATTTATGCTTAAAAAATTAGATAGTGCTATTTAAAAAAAATGTTGATGACGTGATAGGTTTATGAAACATAGCGTAAAAAAGGTTTAAGCCACGTGACAAAATAACAATTCCTATTTTAATTGACGTGTTTTAGCGTTTTTGTGAAAACGCAACACAAAATAAAATACGAATTTTTTGCATTACTTCTGGGACGCACTGTATTATACCTAATTTATGAGTAAAAAAAACTAGGTATCGATGTACATGTTTGGAACACGAGTTTTTGTAACACATTTATTAATGCATTTATTTCGTGGCATATAAAAATTACGAATAGTAATGAATATTTCCTTTTCAAACCACTAAATTATTAATTAATTAATTACTATGATTTCATTGGTATAAAAAAATTATAATAGATACAAATCAAACAATTTGCTGTATGTAAATACCCATAAATAGTCGTCGAGTGATCATCCGATTTTTGAAATCATTCGAATACTCGGCGGTCAGTTATTGAAATAAATCCACTATTCCCATCACTAAACAGTAGACCCAAGCTTTTTGATTTACTGTTGATTATTGTAAATTAAAATAAGTTACAGATTTTTATAAATCTATAAACGTAAACATGACGTGGTACTATCGATTTAAAACTACGATTCAGCAACTTCAAAAATATGTATAAGAATCGACTAGCCTCGTGATTTTTTTTATTTTTTTTATTTATTTTATTTTTTGAGGAAAGTTATGATACTATTGAACTAACTTCAATTCATAATTCAGTGACTTCGAAAATATAGGAAATAGACGATTGAACTAATGGTTTATAGCTTGCTAAACAGTTATATAAAAACTGCCATCTTGAATCTTCTGAAAATAACTTAAGATTTATGACAGCGATCTCGAAGTCCCCATTAAGGTTATTTGGAGACGGATTTATCAGTAATATGTTCATTGGAGGGAGTTTATTAGACTTATACTTGCAGGCACCATATTGGTACCCCATATTGGATTTTCGAATTCTGCCGCATAACAATTTAAAGTACTCGGAAGAACTAATTTTTGTACACTCAAAACCATTTATTAAGTGTCTCCAAATTTTGACGAGAGCCGTGATCGATTTTACGTGGAACATCCCATATACAGTATGTCCCGTTTTTCAGGTTAACACCTCTGAAAATGTGAGAAGGCTGTGGGACTTTCTACAAACCAATTTTTTTTACAAATAGTACCCTGATGGGAGGTTATATTCTACTAACTATTTTATCGATGTGACAAAAGCCTGGCCTACTACAATTTATTAAAAGGGTCATTTTTCCAGAAAGTACTACTTTCATTTCATTAATGAAGTTTGTCTTTACATGTCATAGCTAGGAAAATTGTGAATAAAATAGCATCACAAGTTCTTATGCACTTTGTCAATATATACCAGGTGTCTTGAAAAAACACCACAAGCTATAACTCTGTCATTTGTGGTTCAATTTAAAAAGGCATTATTAAAAAGATTGGCATTAATGGTTTCACAATACTACAAACCTGGTGCTCATTTTCAAGGCTTACCTTAGTGGAAAGAGATTTTATTTTTTTTTTAAAGGGATACTCCATGAGCTCCTTAGAATGGCTATGTCCTGGCCTTGAAGTCCATTATTTCCTGTGTTCTGTCTCAGTCCATTTGCCCAGAGCCCACCTGACCACACTGGGAGATGTGCCACAGAAGGGCTCCGGGCCAATGAACTCTGTCTCGGATCCCTTCCTAGCAAGTTCATCCGCTTTCTCATTTCCACAAATGCCTTTATGCCCTGGCACCCAACACAGTCTGACTGTATTGTTGGTGGCCAGTTCAGTCAGCATTTGTAAACAATCCCACACCAGTATTGAACTTATCTTGTGTGCGCCTAAAACTTTCATTGCAGCTTGACTATCGCGAAAATTTCTGCTTGGAATACGGTAGGGAACTCCCCCAGACTGTAGCTTGCACTCAATCTGGGTCTGAGTCCATATATTCCTGCACCCGTCCCTCTGGTCATTTTGGAGCCATCTGTAAACCATACTAGGCTCTACCTTTCCAGGGTATTAAACCTTTTCTCCCATTTGCTTTGATCCTCTATTCGAGTCTCAAATGGCTTGTGGAAGTATATAATGTATAGAATATAATGTATTTAAGTTAACATTTAAAAAATTTTAATTTTTTTAAGAAACAATACACAATATAATGTTTTTTTGAATGTTCGACCCTTCGACTACTGTCATAAAAAAAATATGGTGACTAAAATAACAAAAGAAATTTGTTTAACCAACTTATTTTACATTGTAACTCCACACTGGCAGTGCTGATAGTACAGGAATACAGCTTCATGTGATAACTCTGTTCAGTGGCATACACAAGAATTAAAGTGCAATTTAAAAAATTCAGGTTCGTATTTAGGGGGACACGTACTATTATCCCTAACAAACCGACCCCCACTTAATGTTACACCCTGTAACAAATTCTCACTACAGGGATCTCGGAAACGGTAAGAGATACGAACTAGCTTAAATGGGGGCACAGTTACGTAATCAGGGGACCAACATTATGCCTCTAAAAAATGAAGGCTAACTTGATTAGTTTTGAAAATATTTAGTGGTAAATTTATAGTTGTACAAATTTATTTAAAGAATATCTTGTGACATAAGAGAAGGACTCTGATGCACAAATTACGAAAATCAAAAATGCTGGGGATTATTTTCAAACTTTGTTGATATGTTATACCAATTAAAGCAAATGAAGATAAGATTATTGCTACTAAAATCATTTCTTTCCCAAATACAGGCTGTTACAAATTCGCTTCTCACTACAGGGATCTCGGAAACGGTAAGAGATACGAAGTAGCTTAAATGGAGGCAAAGTTGCATTATGTCTCTAAAAAATCAAGAATTGTTTAGTTTTCGAAATATTTGAAAAAAAGAGAAATTTTGGAAATCCGTTTTTGTTTCATTTTAGCCTTGTTTGAGGTTATATTGAAAAAACAAGAACACTTTTATGGCCCTCTATCGAATGGCATCATCAATTTCTATATGTAACGTTTTGTCTCTCCAGGACCATCATCAACTTCATTGTTTTAAACACTACCCTGGAA